AAATCCTTGGTGATCTGCGGAACTAGCTGCAGAGAAGACCTGTTAGCAGGGTCTAAATTTAGTGTGTTTTAGAGCATAAATCCTCCTAGACTCACTCTGCGATCCATGGAGAAAGAAGGTAGAACCTCTCTGTTGTTAAAGAGGTAGCTTAAGTAGATTAACCTTAAGGTTAGCCTTTATGAACACTCCCTATCCTTTGTTAATGTTGTAAAAAATTAGAAAATTCTTTCAAAGACTGGCGTATTTTCAGAGAACTTCTTCAGTGTTTACTACCGAGGACAACAAAGCACATCATCAAACTTATGTGTCAGCTATTTGGCTATAGAGTGATACCATTCCAGAAAACAGAGCTGTCTTTCTGACAGAGGTATGTATCAGTAAATGTGCCTGTAGTTCTGGTTCTCTGAGCACTAACTCTGCAGACTTGTCTAGAGCTTCTTTCCAGGTTAGTTTTCCTGTAAGGAAAGTAAGGAACCTGGGGATAAAGATTGACACACCCAAATCTTCCATGGATACAGTATTTGGACATGAATAGGGCATGTAGCCAGACCAAGGAACTTAAAAACACTCTCAGATCTTACTGTGTGAACATAGCCAAGATGACCGGCATTTGTTTGCAAAGATTTGTAAGACGGTCAGTGACACCACAGTCTGTGTGTGTCCGTGGCAGCTTTTCAGCGTGCCTCTGCTGGGCTTCTAACATTAATGCTCCTTTCAATCAGGGATGCAGAGAGGAGCTAATGACTCATAGCTCCTACAGGTATGGAGTACTTAAAGAACTGAGTGCCATGCCATCTCTTGTAATTATGTTGATAGGTTTGACAGGCCTAGAAACTTTAATAGCATCTTAAAAGCAGATTTTCTGAAGTAAACAAGGAGCTCTTAACTAAAGGGAAATGGAAGAAGCAAAACGTAATTGCCCATTGCTATACCACTTATTTCCTCTTCTCTAAGGCAGCAATTCCTCCACATATACCTTAGTGCTACAAAGCAGTGAGATCTGATGACATCTCAGTTATGTTCCCGTGCTTATCCTGATTTTCTGATGATTATAAACTAATAGTCTTACACTGCGCGCATCTGGGGATTTTCCAAAGGACAACACACAATTTTTGTTGTCTTATTGGACAAAAAAATGTAGTAAAAATCCGCAGTGATTCTCCATAAAGAAGTTGACACAGGGAACATTAAGCTGTATACCAGAAAAGCCCCATCTTTTATGGTGTTCAATGTTTCACATACAGAAGCATGTGCTAGATCATTCTCCATTCTCTGAAGAATATCAGAGGAACTCCATTGTCTCAAGTATCTAAATTCTGCTCCTTCTTTTCTATGCAAGTGATACTTTAGAAGATTCAACATAAGACCAAAGCAGTTTTTTTAACAGAAAAAAAAAAAGGTGGAGTTTTAGCTCATTAAGTCGATTGTTGTGATTTCAAATAGATGTTGCCATCTAACTGGGCTTTTAGCATTTTCTTCTTAGAGCAAACTACATGAGCTTTCCTTTCTCATGGTAATAATAGTCCTCAGGAAACAGTATGAGCAAGAATTAAATGATTGTCCAGCAGATTCAACACATACAAAGAAATAAATAATTTTTTTGTCTAATCTACAAAGTAAATTCCTGTAATAAGACTAGACTATTTCAAGCAAAATTTACCCCCTCCTACGTTATCACATCTGTAAGTTTTCTGTAATTTGTCCTTTTAATTTTTCCAACATTCTTTGCTCTCAGCAGTGTTTTGTAATAAGAGTATCACGGTAGACCTTCCTAGACATTAAAATTCAAGTGAATGTTGAAGTCATCCCATCATCACACTTTGCTTCATGACTGTTGAATCCAGAGGTTTTGAGACTAGAGAAACATTAATTGAGAAAAGCTGTGTTTAAGTGTAGCCACTCTCTGTAGCCAGGCTCTCTGTTGGCTTCTCCTAACAAAACCTACCACACAGGAACTTGAGTGGAAGAAGTTCTCCTAGAGAGATGTTCCTAGACAAAAGGTGGCAACAAACTGCTTTTCTCTGGTGAATCACGGGCAAAAAAACCGCTATCTGAGGAGTAACCAGTGCCTGTTGAAATTAAATGTGACCAAGGAAAAAAGCAAATGCTCTGTTTTGGGGTTTGTTTGTGCAGTGTGCCCCCTTAAAATATCTTAGAAATGCTCCTTGAGAGTCCATCTCATGAAGAAAGAAAGTGGTAGAAACCACATTTGACTTCCTCTCGAAGTCAATACTTTTCTTTGTGTGTGGTAAGCAGCTGGGGCATCTCCTGAGAAGCTGTAAAGAGTTTCCTTTTGTAGCTAGAAAGTTTTGCAAAGTAGACTACATAGAGGAAATTTTTGTCTTACAGTCCTAGCCATAGATATAGCCTTGTGGTTGTGAAGTACAGAGTTTCAACAAAAAGTAAGACAGTTATTTCTATCTTCATTTCCACCCGCAGCTCCCAAGAAATAGTCAGAAGCTTTGACCTTGACTCTGAACCAGGAGTTCCACCTCAGCCAAAAGGTATTCTTTATATTTGGAGTCTCTAGTGAAATATAGAATGATGGAAGAAAAACCTTCCCTCATAGCTATTTCCTGTGCAAGTTAAAGGCAAATACTACCATTGATTATACTTTATTTAAAGGAACCAGAATATGAGAATAAAAAGCTTAAAATGTTACTTTAATTGACATACTCTTTACAACAAAAGAAAAATATTCACTAGATTTTTACCTCTGTAAATGATGTGTCATTCTTCAAAAGTCCCAAGAAATGGATGGACATTTTTAGCTTCCAACAGTATGCTGCATTCAGTAGTACATTTGATATTTTTTTTACCAGTGTTACTGGGCTTAATTTTCTCTAGTTATGTATTTTAGATTGAACTCTAACAAGAAGGAAAAGGCTAAAAGAAATTAAATTGCTTCCTTGTGAATCAAAATAGTCAGGTAGAGGACACACATTACTTAGCATTCAAGGGGCCACATACATATCAGCTTCATAAAATTCCTATTGAATGATGCAACTGCAATATGTTGATTACAGCTTTGCAAGACTTTCCTAAAACAGGATGGTCATTCATAAGTGAAATCTTCCACAATTTTTCATATAAAACAAGGTTGACATTTATGGTGTGAGCAGTTATATTATTTCAAGTGAAAACTCAGAATGGGAGAAAATTTAAGAGAAAATCTTAGCTGACAGCAGATAAAAAAAATCAAGATTGCAAGAATAACGATCTCCTTTGAAACTCTGGAAACCCATCCAGGTATTTCAAAGTAAGGATGACCTAGCTTAGGGCAGAGATTTGAAACAGATTGTGAAACCTTAGAATAACTGAGATTGAAAACAAAGAGATTTATAGCTAATGGTTAGAATTTCACATAACCTCTTACCTTGAGGAACACAAAGTACACATAACAGTAGGTCTGATAGCTTGGCAGTAACAGCTACTCTTGTGGTAAGCAAGCATGATAGCTCTCTGAACAAGCAACAAAGACTTTGCTGGGAGAGAAACATCTAAGATACATCCACAATAAAAGAAAAAATGCCATGCTGTTCTGAGAATGTAGTATACTATCTTATTGTTTTCTAGTGCAGAAACAGGAGTGGGAGATGCCAGCCTTCCTTTACATTCATTCTGGCCACTAAGTATTTGTATGGCACTCAAATAACCCCTTACTTGTAACTGAGCTGCTGATAAATAAAACAGATTTTGGTGTATGAATGAACACCTAAAGAGTTGGTAGAAAAATATATACTCCTTTATGAGAGATTCCAGTAGTTTCAATATTGCACTGAGCACCAGAATACTAAATTCAGCAGCACCTTAGAATAGATGCTCATTAACAATAACTAAAATGTTAAATACAGAAGGGTTCTTTTGTGAATAGCGACTTATAAGGTGCCCAGTTTCAAAAGTGAACTTTAATAAAATTTACCAAGAAGATACTGAAAATGTGAAAATGTCTACAGTTTATATGTTGAAGAAATTAGGATTTTTTATAATTTAGAAGTGCAAGGATCTGAACTTCTGCTTTTATAGCAAGCAAGGAGAAAATATGGAAAACAATAACTTCACGAATAGAAATTAATAGAGATAGGGTGGATAAGATCAAAAACCCCAAAATGATAGCTTAGAAGACAAGAATTATTGTTAGACATGAAGGATGGGTAACTTAGAAAAGAACATCAGAAAAGCACATACTGTTATTAGAAGTAAATGCTAGCTTCAGAGGCTATAAGAACACAATTTCTAGTATGTTTTGAACAAACATGTTAGTGAACCCATTCAGAATGAGTATATATTCCTAGCTGAAAGTTTCATTAATTTTGTTATTTGAATAGCAAATAGCTGAAAATCAGAAATAGATTTCTATTACTTACAAAGGTGAGTATTTCTTGATCCACACTATTGCAGAGTTAATTTTATCTGTTGCCTGTACTGGTGTTAGTCTTTATTATCTCACCACGCATGAATTTTCCTCCACCTGTATTTAACTGATGAAGCATGTGGATCCTTGGACGTGGGAACTTTCTGCTTGCTGCCCTCCAACTTTTCTTTTTTTTCGAACCAGGTGTTGAAGCTTAGTGTGTTTTTAATATGAAACAGTGTGTATTTAAATTGTTTACTAGTAGTCTGACGTAACAGGTACATGTACCTCTGCCTCATAAATGCCTTGGGTCTAGTATGTGCTTTCAGTAATTTAATTTCAGTGACAGGTCAGTGGAAAACAGTAATATAGCAGGTGGAATAGCAGCAGCTGGAAAGTGGTTAAAAACAATAACAAGTCTGGAAAGCAAAGTTTGTCAGAAACTCAGAGAGGTTGAACACAGGCACAACTTTATTCTTTTTCGAGGCTTCACGGTAACTGAAGTCTTGAGTGTCTCTGAGATAAAGGAGACTAGTCATAGTCGGCAGCCTCGATGATCATAGCTAAGCTCATTTAGAGGAGTACCAGACTCCAATGAATTACATGGAAAGATTTGGCAGTTGAATGAAAGAAAGGACTGACTTACTGAAGTAAAAGCCTCTGTCTCCACACACGAACTGAAGAGCATCAACCAGCTCAGCACCACAGAGTGTCTCTGGGCCAGCAGCAACAGAACTGGTTAAGGTAAGCAAACACAGCCCAAGGTAGAAGAAATGGGTGTAGGACACAGTGTGCATCTTCACCTGCCAAGGAAGCAAAAGCAGTGTTAGAATTTGCCAACAGAGTCTTAAACAAAATGACTTCTGCACTATAATTTCTTGGACGATAAACGTACTATCAGGAAATGTCTCACCATAATTTTGTAATGGTCTACATATTCTAGTCCATGTATTTTGTGAACTGGATATTTCCTCTGGTGAATATTCTTGGTTCACATTCACATGTAAGTTAGGGAAGTTAGGAATCATAGTGACTACGATTTATGGTTGCTCCTGCAATAGGAGAATATGGGGGAGTGCAATAGACAGGCAGAGGGAAGCCTGGAATGAGAAGAGTAAGGAAGGCAACATGGAACTGGTTTGTCTTAGACCAGATAAGCTGAGGGAATACAAGAGTTGTCTGCCAATGTACTGTGGGAAATGGGGGTGGCATATGATTGAGAAGAGCTGTTTAAACTAAAAGCCAACACTGGCACAGGAATAAATGGCTGTAAACTGAATGCAAGGAGATTTGGCCTAATAGGAAGAGAGCTTTTATTAGGACTCTATTACTCTCCAGCTACCTTAAAAAGGAAAATACCAGGACAAACCAAAAAAAGTTTCAAGGTACAGCTTGCCAGTGTTACTAGAATTGATGTGGGACCTTCCATAGTAGAGGACCACAACCAGTGACTCTTACAGTCTCCTGCTACTAACAGGCAAACATCTGGAACATGTGAGAAATGCAGCTATGCCTCATTGACCTCCATTATATCCTCTTAGTCAGGTATGGCTATGAGGTATACACAGAGGTGATAATTCTTTTCTCATTTACATTTGGTTACAAACTATCTTTTTTCTGTACTTATGATTGAAGAAAGGCCAATCCTCAATGGGAGTAAACTTGCACCATTCCATTTATCCACTTCCTTTAGTATCAATTTATGTCCACCAAAGATCTTACCCAAAATATCAAAGAAGATAGCTTTTGTTTTTTGTTTTTTTGTTTTTTTTTTTTTTTTAATATTAGGAGGAGCTATTTACCTATAGTAGCATGACACTGAAGAATGTGCTTAATGCATACTCTGAACTTACTCAGATCACTTGCCAAAAATGCTAGTTTCAAAAGGTGTGAATCTGAATTTAATTTCATTGTCTTTCAAGGTTAACATTAGTATTACAGTCAGGTAAGAAGTTACAAACCTGTCTTCCACATACAGTTAAACTTGGCTTAAAACTGCTTTGTATTAGCAAACTAGTACAAAGCAATTGGAGTAAAATGATTAATCTTCCCCAAAGTTTCTTTCAGGGACCATTTAATCTTATTTCTTCACTGAACTTTTGAAAAACTGAAGAAATTATCTATTGTCTGATCAACTGGGATCTGTTCCAGTGGGGTATTGATTCTTCTCTAGTCAATAACTTTTAAGAATTCTTATTTTCTTGGCAAGAGATCTTAGTACCTTGCTAGATGAATCCCCTATTTCCACTATAAAAATAATGAATAAATCTAGATCCCATGATGCATTATAAAAAAGAGTGAATAATTATTTTCCCATTCACAAGAGTCTTTAACCAACTTTGCCATGCAAAACCCAACAAGCTTGAATGCACAGACATGACTTCAATGGCAGATGGAAAAAGATCAGATTATAAATGAATGATGATAACATGAGGCATTATTTCCTGTAGTGATTCCGTATCTTAACAACAACAATTCCTTTTTTCCTTTGCCATATTTTTGAATTTATAAGATAAATGTGATGCACCTGCAGTTTAAGATGGTTCCCAGTTCTGAGGAGGTAAAGCAGAAAGCTGTTTAGCACACTGCCTCAGAAAGCTGAAAGACATTACAAATACAAGAACATTATGTATTTAGCAATTTGTTCTCGTATAACATTTGGTCCAGAAATAAACATAAATTTTAGACATTTAACAATTTTTTATTTTTCAAGACTTCTCAGCTGGCTTGCATTTTCAGATAAATATCAGCACTGAACTACGACAAAACAGATTATCTACTGTTTTTCCTTTAGTGGAAGCCAAAAAGGCTGCACAGTATAAACCACAGAGAATTTCTAACTTTATCTCCAAATTTAACAACAGTCAAGAACTTTCAAACACGTAAAAACTTTGCAGAAAAGAAAGCAGACTCACATGTTTCTGGGGTTCAATCAATTAATTAAGTACTGTTTCATTAAAACTACTTCCAAAACATAGTTTAAAACTTTACCTCATCATTTTAATTAAACACAACATTAATTGATTCAATATGTTTGTGATAAAATCAAAGTTCCTCTCTATGTCTGAGGGGAATATTCTTAAGAAAATACAGAGTTGTAATCCAATATTGCTTCAGGTTCTCTACAATCAAGCAGGATACTTACATTATCCCCAATTTGACTAGAAAGTTGAGACCTTAAAAGAAAAAGCTTTGCCATGTGGGTGGGGTTTACTGAAGCATCTAATTACATTAGGAAATTGAATACAGGTTCAAGATGAGCCTGGTTAAGCACTTCTTTTAGTTGCATAGAATGACCATATTTTCACAGCTGGAATTTCCTTTTTTTTTTTTTTTTTTTTTTTTCTGCATTCCTCTTTTAACAGTCCAGAAGAGTGGCACCACAAAGGAATGTCATATATGAACACTCTACATCTCATTTACTTCTTAATTCTTCTATGTAAGTTCTCTTTACCTAAAAAACTATTAGTTGACAAAAGTTGTGCATAAGAATTCTTCACATGCTTGGTAATTTTAGTAACATGTAAGAACATCTGCAATAATTAAAAATACCTGGAGTGGGGCAACATATTTATGGACAGTATATTCTATAGAAAGAAATCAAAAAATATATATTCAAAATTACATTTTACCACAGGGAGGGTGGGCCTGATTATCAAATCATAGTAGAAATAAGCAGTTATTGTGCAATAACAGTATTTATTAGTAATTATTATAGAAATAAAGACTGTATACTCTAGAGTGGATCAAGGTTTAAATACTGTTAACTTTGAGTAGAGAATCTGGGCTACATGCTAACTTAAATCAATATGTTCCATTGATTCCAAGGAAGCTTGGCAGGATGCACAGCTGAGGAACTAACACATTACTTTTATGTTTGTGAGTGCCTTGCTCAATACTTTAAAAAAAATCATCTTTCAAGTATATTGGAAGGGATGCCCACTTATACATTAAGGGAATGATTTCATCCATTACAATTACACACCTGTAATTAGGTCATTAAGGAATGAGAGAAGAGTGTTTTGAGTCCCTCTAAAAAAAATAATTAGGCCTTAAACAATTAAAACAGGATAATTCTTTCAACTGCATAAATTTCCTTGCAAAATATTAAAAAAAAAAAGTTCTTAAAGGATATAAATTTGCTGATAATGAAAGGTTGAACTGGAGCCAACTGACAGAAACAGAGGTCAATGCACCTATTGAAGTCAAATTTACTTAAGACAGCTTATATTATTGTGCAGAAATTATAGGGTCATAACATGAAACTTCACATGCAAACTTTCCTGAAACAGCCCTCCCTAGAAGGGAAAACTTGGAGATGAACATGTAAGGGAATTTCCATTTTCTTTATGTACAATTGCTTAAGCTGTACAAATATGCAAGGTCAGCAAGAGTCGCAGCTGGTTTCTAATGTAGAAAACAAACTGAAGTTCTCATTTACTTTTAATTTATGAAAGCAAAAAACAGGCAAATGCTACGATGCTGCCAGAAAATTGCTGCAGTGACAACATCCCTTAAAAGTTTCCTTGTGAAAGCATGAACATTTTCTCAGTAACTGTGCATAATAAAACTGCAGAAACTTAACATGTGAATAATACCTTTTTTCCTATAAAACCCTGCACCTGCAGAAAACAGCTAAAAGTTCTTGTTTTCAGAAGCATTCATTAACAATATAGACAATGATGTAATTGGACCTTTTAATAATGACATAACTGAAATATTACAAAGTTCTCTGAATAGAAGTGAAATTTAAGGCACGTATCTGCAATAGTTTACCCTTACAGTTATCTATGTAATTGCAACTATTATATACAGCCATTTTCCAGATCACATAAAATTGCATGTTCAGCAATTTATAAATAATTCTCAGTTCTAAAATAATGTTATTGAAAAGTGCACAATACTCTTCAAACCAGAAGCAGACAATACACAGCAAAATAAAACCAAAAAATTATTTGAAATAGTAATAAAGATTTACCTTCAAGAAATCACACAAGCAGCACTTAACTAATTGTGTTGAAAGACTGTTGATTTTTTCCATTGCTTCTTAAAAGTGCAAAGTCTGGAAATGAATTTGTTAGCAGTAATGATGAGAAAAAAGAAATCCAGAGAGATGTGAGATGTTGAGAGCAATGTCACATTTCAATATTGAGGACTTTATTCCATTGCGCAGGCTCTATCTGCTCTGATTTTAGCAGTGACAGTGAGATTTAGCAAACAGAAGAGGGATTTAGAGAAAATCCTCACATTTATCTACATTACACAGACACTGTAGACAGGAAACAGCTGGGGGAGCATTTGCCTTCTCTCTCTCTCCCTCTTCTGGCAAAGTTACCGAGTAAGGACTTTTTTGGGCATGGTGACAAATAACATCATACCTTTGCATTTTAAAACTAGAGCACAGAAGCATATTTTTTTCCCTTTAAAAAAATGTGAATTAGTGACTGAGGGGTTAGCAGACAAAACGAGCTTGTGCTGCCATGAAAAATAAGAAAATGTATTCTAGCTAACTTTTAGATAGCTATGTGCATTTGTATTTATGTGTGTCTGCATTTCAAATACATAAAAACTTATATACCTAGGGGCAATGTTTGTATATATGCATACCTTTCTGTATGTACACACATTTTATTTTTGCATAGAGGCATAGGTATTTTATGTGTATGGTACAGAAAGACAGGCAGTCAGTTATCTATGTTTTTCTTAATGCGTCTTTACGTTATTAAACTTGGCATGCCTATATGCTGAGTAACAATTAAAACCTCCAACTCTCTGTGTGATTAACCCTAAAATAGCAGTTTGTAATTTGCTAAAAATAACAGAACTGTTAAACACTACTTGTAAATAGGGCAAAATAGCTTTGTGATCTTTCAGCAACCACACAGGGGAAATCGTATAATTTCCTAGAATTTACAGTATTATGAATATAGTAGCAAAAGTAGCCCAGTTTGGGGGGCTTCCATGATGTGTATATTAAATCTGTTGTTGTAATTATAGTGTGAGTTTCCCCCTTTTGAGTAGTAATCTTCAAATTACTCTTGATAACAATTTACTTGACACCGGGAAAGAGAGAATTCCACTTCATTAGTTCTGCAATACCTAAGTTTTGCCTTTTTTATTTTTCCTCAATTATGAGTATATTATAAATAACACCAGCTGGCCAGCAACATGCTCTCACGGGTTATGATGTCATTCAAATCCCTCAACTGTGTTAGTGGCTTGCAATGTGCTCCAAGCCAGCTGTTTTTCTATTTATAATGTATGCTTGCGTTTCAATACTTAGCTATTGAGAATAAAGTTGGGATGTTGTTTTATAGATACAGTTTGTACTTGTTACCCTTTGGGTTTGGAAGATGGCATTTAAAAGTAGAGGACTAAACAAGAATGCATCTCCAGAGACCAAATACATGTCACAAACAGTGCATGATTTCCATAAAAGCTGTTTCAGAACATTGCATTTTGTCCCAGTTCGCTTCCACTCAGAGTTGCATACTGAGGTGCTAGCTGTACTTTATGATTGAAAATAACAATTGAGATCATGTTGGCCCAGATCTGTACTCAGTTTTCAGATCCACCTTGAACTATATGGTGCTTGCCAGGCAGAAAGGACACATTTAGTTATTTGTATCCTCTATGAATGGCTAATACTCTGCTCTGTGCAGTTTTAAACAGTGTGTGGTTAGCTAAGCTGATTAATCTTTGGAAGGGATTTCTTCTAATGTAACATAATGGCAGAATCAGGGGGCTTTGAGGTAAGTTTGCTTAGGTCAGGTAATGCTAATAGTTCAAGTATTCTAATACACATTTGTACTGCAGGTGATGTATTTTAATATTCTGGTCAGTTTTATTCTTCCCTCTGCATTTCAGAGGTCACTACATAGTGGTATTCTACACATAGCTTGATAAAGCCTGATACTTCTCATAGCACATGTATCACCTCTTTGACAAGCCTTGTGGAAGAATGTGGGATGACAAATTAGCAAAGGTCTGATAATCTTTTTTTTTTTTTTTTTTTGCTTTTACTGTACTACAGATGGGTGCACACACTTCTGCCTTTTTCCTCCTGAATAACAGAAGGAATACGTTCATTCATAACTTCCCTGCTGCCTGAGCTGCAAACCCTTGTCTCACTCGGCACTGCTTTCTTTCTCCTAGGTTTCACCAGGCCTTTCTCAGCATGAGAGCAGGATGCAGTAGAAGATGCAACTTTTGGCTCTCAGGGTAACCAGAGAATCATAGTGTCTCTAATCAACTGATAACTGTCTTTGCCGTTCTGAACACTTTTCCTCTATGCACCTCACCAGCCTGAGGTTCTGATATACTTCTCTTATTTCTTTTTTGTCTTGTTTAAAAGTGCTTATTCAGTTACATACATTCCCTTGAATAAAATGCACCTGTAAACTACAGAGTTTATGGTAGTCATCAAAATACTCACAAAAGCTGTCCAGGTTAAAAAAAAAATATATATATATAATTGGAATGTATATAGCTATTTTGCATTAAAAGAATATAGCACATATATTTTTGTTTGCCTTCTTAAATATGACCTGCAGTGATATAATAATCACAAAGACATACTAAATGAGTGAGAGATGGAACTAGGTATTTAGGAATCTGTGTCCTGATTCTCATCTTTTGTACTTTAATACTCACATGGCATCACTAATATGCTCTAAAGCTTTAGAGTTCCTGAGTCAGTTTTCCAGGGACAACTCCATTTTGTAGAAGATAGCAAAACTAGAAATAATCATTTATGCAAATTAATATATTGTCCCTCCTTAAACCGTTTTTAAAAGGGTAGGAGCATTGCCACAATGCCTGAAAAAAGTCTGAACTGTACGAAGGCAACCAGTGTGCATGCCTCTTGCATTCTTCTGTATTAGATCAATCTTACCTATATGCAGTTATTTGTTATTTGTAGCTGTTGTTTGTTTTTTACATTGGGATTACAAGTTTTCTGGAACCAAGATAGAACCCCTATAATAGATATCACCTGAGAAGGTGATAGGGTGGAGAGCATGGAGGGATAAAGGATGGAAGAAGACAATAAAGACAGTGGCTGGTGAACAGCTGTTTTTCATTATATGAAAATAGCAGAGACAAAATTGTCTTTGGAGAAAGACTTGAAGGGGAGTATTTTATTAATATGAAATCTGTGTTGAAGTTAGTGATTAGTCAGGTATATGGTGGAAAATTCCTTTCAAATTAAAAGTTGGGAAGTGGAGAACATGCTAATTCATTTGGGTTTTTTTAAAAAAAACAACCTCAAACACCTTTTTTTCATGGTGACCTAAGTAGTGTTGTCACTAGATGAAATCCAAGTAACAAATTTGATGGGAAGGATGAGGGCATGCAATTTGAGCTGTCATTACATTGCCAGCATTGAAGAGACACTAAGGAGAGAGCATTGCCATGAAAAACAGTTTCCCACTTGGGTGAACAGGGAAAGTGCAATCTTCATGATTGAATTTTAGAGAGGATCATGTAAATTGAAACCTTTCATATTCGCCGATGAATTAAAACATGAGTGTTTCAAGGGCAGGATGGATGTGTAAGAAACTCAGCCCAAAACTACTGCTTGTAGGTAGTAGTGGCAGAAAGAATCGATGTTAGTAACAGCTCAGAATTAGTCCATAGACTTGTAAACTAAAATTACTGAGTATTTCACATTTTGTGGAGTAAGAATAATGGCTTTGCGGAGATCAAAAGGCAGCAAGGACTTTACTGCTTGCAGCTAGGATGCAGAGTGTATGGTGAGAATGCTCTGATGTAATAAAGTACTGCATAGTTTTATTTTATAGTATAAATGAAAGTAGCTACTGTTTTGAATAACTCCATATTAATATAGTTTTCCCCCTAGTTTTAGAAACAAATGCTGCTAAAAATGATAAACAGCCAAATATTGAACTTATTTTCCTACTCAAATGAGATATTCATCAACTACTGGATATATTTTATCACAATTTAAACAAATTTAAAAAATGATAATATATTATGGTAATTACTCATTAAGTGGCATGAAATGAGGTGTAGTTATGAATGTGATACAAAAATACAAAATATGAGAAGTAATTTTAAATAAACAAAACTAAAAAGCTCAAACAAATGTTTCAACATTTCTGAAAGCATTTTTAAGTGTGCTTTTTTTTTTTAAATTTCTGCTTTGTGGGAAATTTTGAAATAGTTTGTTCTGATTCAGAATAATCAAAATACCAGAATTTTCCATTAAACTGGAAATTCCCAGTTTTAGCTGTTTGTAGTCTTGCTCTCACTTTCCCAATGTTAAGCCCTGAATAGATGATCTTTGGTCCAAAAAAAGTTGCTTTCTTTCTTATTCCTAAAAGCAGTAAAAAAGTCAGAATTAATAAAGGAGGAAATTTAGGCGATATGACTGCATAAGCTCTATGTTTGCATGCATAGAAAGAAGGTAAAATAAGTGGAAATTGTGATCGGGAGCAATCTGCATATATGTGCATATCTTCCCAGTAGATGAGGAAGTTCACAGGAAGTGAAATGTATGGCCTTAGATATTCCTTTAATTTCCTAAACTGTTTCTTCCACATTTAGGTGAAATGCAGAGAATTTCTTTTTTTTTCCCTGAGTCATCTCAAGGCTAAATCTGTGATCATAGATTTTTATAAAATAGGGTCTGGCAGATATGTTTAACGGTACTTTGCTTTTTCTATGAATTAGACACAGAAATGCCAATGTCTTTGTGTGATTTTTTTTAATTGATAGCCCAAAAAACCCTGTAAAGACAACTGAATACTGTGAATTTTATCACAAGCAGGATGTATACAAAGCAAACAGTGTGAGCACATGGCAGAAATGCCTATCTGTTTTATCTTGGTCTGAAGAGTTCTTTCATGAGTTACAGACTTCAGAAAGTATTCCTTATTATACTTATATGCAAACTCTATTTGGAGATGAAATAAGATGTTTTTAAACAAAATAGAAACTCTGCCTCAACCATTTTTAATTTCTTTAATTTACAATTAATCTACTTCTTACTGTGTGTCTTAGGACTATTTCTTCTGGTTTCATTGCACTCTCATGATTTACTACACAGAAGGGGCTTATCTCATAAAATTTATGCAGTGTTTAATGGACTGAAACTGATTCTGCACCTTCAAATACTGAGCTCTCTCATTGACATTTTCCTGTATATTTTCTTCAAATAGAAGTTACAGATAAGTCAGTCACCTCTGGTTTGGCCTATTGATACAGTGATACTCTGGATTATTTGAACAAAACATTAAAATGGGGAACAAATTAGCCCAAACCCAT